AAGTGATGAGTAACCATCTGGAAGTAGTGATAAAAAAGCTGAAATACAGTTGAACTTTAAGTGGCCACACTCGGTGTACTGCCAAAAGGACGCGTCATAAACTTGCTTAATCATAAGCAGAATCATCAAACAAAAAGAAAACGTCAAACAACAACAACACGCAACGGGAGAGTCAGGTCAGGTCCACAATCAGTCGTTACCTTTCTAGATCCATCACATTGTTAAAAGAAAGCCAAACTTTTGGCTGCTTTTTAATAACGGACAGGGGCGGATCTAGGGGGAGGGTGCAGGGGTGCCCCCCCCTGAGATGACCTGCGGTTTCCTAATACAATTGGTATTCTGCCAAAAAAAAAACTATGTGGTTTATTGGTGTTGAAGTAAAGCAAGAGAAGAGTGCACCCCCTCCTAAAAAAAATCCTGGATCCGCCCATGACGGAGGTGACAACAATAGAAAAACTCTCGTCGGGACGGCCAAAAGATGGCCGAGGAAGCTTGATGGAGGTTGTCGCTTTATAAAAGGTCGCGTCGCAGACACTGCCGGTAAACCTTCTGTCAAAACGTCTGCGAATTAGTGCATAATGTCGAATTTGAATTCCGTAGATTGGCTAGTTTCGCACACAGTTTGTGATTTGAAATAAAGTGCTGACAGGCCATCCACGACTCATAGCTCATAATAAGAGAATGACCTGGTGATAGTGTCTAACAGAAGTTTTCCGAACTTTCCCTCCTATGGCGTAGATTACAGCGGACGATTTCTTCCTTATTGTTAAATCATTAGCGCTAACAAGGTTCCTAAACATGATAATAAATCCGTTTAACTGATTCATTCGTCTCTTCAAAATATTGTTCAGCCCCTTGTCTCGATAATCAACCTTTCGTTGTCTGCTAGTGTGTTTCCCGAATCTCTCAAAATCGCTAAAGAAATTCCGGCTTTTAAGGCCGATGATGCAACACTTCTTAGTCGCTGAGGGTAAAAGGCGGAATGAGTTTGCCGAATGGCATGGGGCATGGCTTGCGGAATATAAAATATGGAAAATGGCACAAAGAAATAGATTAAACTGAAAAGCACGCGCGCATATTTGCTGCGCCTTTTTTGGCGCCTATTTGAATGAGCAACTGCTTTGCTGGTCCATTTATTACTGCTGACTCAAACCAACAAGGCAGAGCAGAAAGTAGCGATAAGCTAAGCATTCGTTTCTATGTAATACTTTATTAAATTAAATACTTAATTTATTTTTGATGTTTTTGACAATACTTTCTCTCTTTCTGCCCACCATTTAACAATTAGTTCATGTGTCAATGTGCGTATGTCGAGATCTTGAGCACGCGGGAAGTTTGGAGTGCACGAAAGAGGCGTAAGAGTTGCACGAGGCGCAGCCGAGTGCAACTCTAGCCTTTCGAGTTCTCTCCAAACTTCTCAAGTGCTCAATATCTCGACATACGCACAGCTGCAGCATGAACTAATTGTTTTATAACATTATCAAAGCGATCAATGCAGCAGTTAATCTAAAATTTTATTATTGTAGGGCGCGCTCAAAGCAGTACGCGTCAATGTTTACGTGACTATGTTTTTTTTCCTCACAGTTAAGGTTATGTTTTTATCCTAAAACTGAGAGAAAGTCTACTCTAAAATGATTGTAAAATCCACATTTAGGTGCCGGAAAACCTTTAATTGACCGAAGAATTGTTTTTGAGAGAAAACAACTTTGCAAAGAATGAGCTCACGCCATAGTCCGTACAGCTCGCGGAGATGACAACAACAACAACAACACTCACCTCTTTTCCTTACTATCGGTTAGCAAATTCAAACGTTTTCTCTTAAATTTCCTTATAAAACACATCGTAAACGCTTCATCGTGTACTGCTGAGTTATGGATGCACTCAGGAGACTCAGGATTGCTAAGCTCACATTAACAACTCGAGGAATTACGAATAGTTTATTGACGTCATCAGCGTGCTAAATGTTTTTATTAGAAATGTATCTTCAGTTAATGCTTTCAAGAAGGCTCTTAAAACTCATTTATTTCAGAAGGCGTTTCCCTGCTAATTTATTGTTTTTATTCTCTTTATTAAGAAGGATTTGTATATGGGATATTAAAGATTAATTTTTATTTTTAAATTGTTATTTTTACTAACTTTTTAGGAACGATCTGTAAATTTTGTTTTTGGAATATGTACTAGGATTTTAGGATTTTGTTGAGTCAATGTTGTGCGCAGATGAAAATTTCTTTCCCTGGATTGATATTTGCGCAATACAAATCAAATGAATAAATAAATAAATAAATAGGAATATGAAGCACGCTCGCGCTATTGAATTTGATTAGGCGAATTTTCTAGCTATTTTATAATATAATATAGTCGACTGTGTTAGCTTTAATCGATTTAATTAGGAATATATCTTCAGCTATTGTTCAGTGTGGATTCATTTGCCTGCTGGAATTTTTTGTTGTTCTTAAGCCTAAAAACAAGAAAAAGTCCAGTGGACAAATGCGACAGCTATACTCGTATGTTGCAAATGAATCCTCCTTTAGTCTGAGGGTTTTATAGATTTAGCCAGGGCTAAAAGCGAAGCTACCATTAATAAATTTATAATTTAAATCAAGCAATAAACTTGTAATACACAAATCAGTTAAGGGCACATTCATGTG